CGTTGCTAAAACACCCAAGAGTTTGATAATATGGGTGCATTTTCTTAAACAGTTGCTAAGGATATACCATAGCAACTGTTTAAGATTAGATTCTACAAAAGGCGCTAATCAGGAGTTAAAAAACAGGGTTTTTAAGTGAACAATAATGACCATACGTAACTAAATGAAAATAATATGTAAGCATATAAATGTGTGTGTGAGTACCTATGTGTGTTTACTCTATTTACCATAAACAACTTGAGAACATTAGTAAGTCAGGCGAATCCGACTGTGAATTCCAGCCATACACTGCAGGCGACACTCAAGTAAAGCTGCACATTCACTGAGCAAGCACCCTTCAATTGTTTACAAACGCGACTTGCATGACATCGCCCGCGCCACTGGTTCGGACACTGCACTTGAATACTATCTACTTGTGTTCTATTACTGGAAAGTGCACTTGTATGCAGTTGTATAAACAATATTACTGAACAGAGATGTAATATGTTTATTTGAAAATAACCATTATAATATTAATTGCCTGCTTGAATGTTATGAAAAATGAACCAATTGGCAATGTACTGTAGTATTTTTATGGCATATGTTGGTAAATCATCAGGATGTTGATAAATCAGGCGATTTATCACTTCATAGGAAATATATTTCTGAAAAAACTTTTTTATTTTTATTTTTTTATTATAGGAACCTAAGGATGAATTATGTAAGAAAAGAGAAGTTATAAGTGCCTTGCCGTTTGAGGAATTCGTACGGCGCGTAGTGTTGCGCGCGCGCCTGAAACAGCCAATAGACCACCACAGACGGGGCACACAAACTCGAACAAACTCACAATCTCTTTAGTCTTTTAGGGAGAGTCATGCTTCGGCACGAATGGGTCGGCTCGATCGGATCGACCAGAGTGATAGTGGCCTCACAGAAAATTGTCGTGAAACATCCACAACGTTGTGTTTCGCCGTGTGAGTGAGGTTACCGGCGGTTTAATCCTTCCCCTCCCCCAATCCCTAAATCTCCAATTCCCTAATCTTCAAAAGGTCGCACTCGTAACTTAACGTTGTTGCCGTTGTCCATGAGCGACACTGATTGCTTACCATCAGGTAATCCGTCTGCTCGTTTGCCGTATATATATATATATATATATATATAAAATATATAAAAAAACAACAAAATAATGTAATTCTATATATAATTGAATTATAGAAAATTCAATTGTGCCCTTTGATAACAACTTTTATCGGTTTTATTTTGAGAAGGGCACATGATGAGTTGTTTGATTGAGATCTGATATGGTTTAGACAGTTTGATATTAGAAACCAATTGTTTTACCAAATAGAAAATGTTGTCATAACGATTTCGTATGTTAATAAATAAACCTTTTTAGTATCTTTCTACACAATACATTCAGAAATGTTAACAGTTAATCTCTCTAAATATTTTTATTCAAAACTAGCTTCTACCCGAGACCTCGTCCAACTAAAAAATAATTATTGCTATGCTCAGGAGAAATTTATTATTACATAACAACTTTTTTTTTCTATTATGGCCTTATTTTATCAGTATGTACCTATCAATAAAATTCCAGTCAAAATCAGTTCAGCCATTCCAAAGATTAGACGAAAATTTAAAAAAGTGGTACTTTTATAAAAGTACCGTATTTCATTATTACTAAAATACACGAAATTTTTATTCATATCTGTAGAATGTAGATCTATAGATATATGTACATATACGTATAACTTGTGTACTTAGCTTAAGAACATTGAAGAAACAAACTGTACAGCTTTAATAATTAAATAGATATCATGAAAACTGTTCTGTTCTCGACATATTTCAATATTAACTTTTGTAACATTAGAAATTCTATTAAAACTCGTATCTTTCGCAATTCTGATATCATTTATAAAACTATTCTTTTCACGCTAGCAAAAAATTTAAAGTCGAGCATAATTTTTCACTGTAATCGTAAATTATGTGGGATGGATAGTTCTAGTGCTAGACTTAAACGAACTGCGACAGGCGTGGAGCGTTCTTTCGTTTTAAAACAATTTGTTTAGCGAGTGCACACAATATATTTTAGTGGGGCGCCGTAACCGGCCCGGGTTCCCGAGAGCTGTGACTGTTGGACAAACAAAAACACACTCCGCTCCCTCTCTCTCGAGCGTCCCTCTGATTGATGACTGCTCTCCGACTTTTTTCGATGGCATTATCTTCTCGATGAAATCGTAAAATAAGTTTAATGGTGCGAATATATTTTTTCCATTACACTCCTTGTGATTTAATCACTTTTCATTCCATTTATTGATTTTTGTCTGTCTGTTTGTTTGTTGCTTAATAAGTAAACAAAACTCTACAGAAATAAAAATAAACTCCATTAAGATAACCAGCTTATTCAAAGGAAATTCATGCAAGAAAGTTGAAAACAAACATATAATCTTTATTCCATTTTGCAGCTACTTTCAGTTTCCTTGTTTCGGCTCCGGAGCGCAGCTGCTATTACGCGCAGTAACGATGGAGTTTACGATCGGCCCGAAAGCCACATCTCTTTGTACGTTTCCGCGGCGGAAAGCGTCTCCTGCCGCGCCCACAAAAAAGCCTTCGACAAACATCCACGGCCCTTTCGAATTCCGCCCGACTTTTGTCAATCACGCCTTAGACTTAGATAAGATTTTAAAATCGTCTTTGAGCAGCGCTCGCCGCCGCTTTGTTCCTTCGACGCTCCTCATTCTTATTTATGAGAACGAGGTCACATTGGAAAACGGCAGCTATATGGCTTTCTGAGCTTAGATTTATTTGGATAAATTGCTTCCACCTTGCCCTATATTTACACACGAGTGCGGAAAACAATTTCTGCCACAAGCAAAATATGATTTAAATCAATTGAAAGGAACAACGTTCAATTTAAACTTATGACATTGTGCCTTGGTGTCTATTGTACAAACATAAAAAAAATCGATGATCCCTTGATTGGAAAGACGATATGATTTTTGGATTTTAATGTAAAAATGTCATACGATTATGTTGCATCTATTGTGTTAATTGAAGTGGAAATTACTTTGAAAAATCTGATGTTATCGCGACCGGTGTCAGTTGCGTGTGACATGTAGGTCGCCGGCTAGTAACATCACGTCAGGCGACAGTGACAAATCGTCGCCGGCGACAAACGGCGCGCTCTGGTGCCATATCGCGACCACCACTCGGTGTAACCGCATGACACCTGTCACGCCGACGGCGGACGATGTGAAGTTAACCGCCCTCATCTACATACATTAGCCCGCCAGCTCTCCTCGCACTTATAATAAGACACGCAGCCACCACTCTGACAAATGTGGCACACAACTAACTCAGACAGTTTGCTTTTAGAAATGTGATCTCAATTAAAGCTAAAACTCCCGTGGCTAATACAATTCCTTACCTTCTCCTCTTTAGATATTTCGTAAACATGACACGTATAAAGTACACATATGCATAAACGATATGCCCCTGTTTGACGTATGCTTTCCAGGACGAAGTTGAATTCCTAGCAGTTACATAATTGAGCAAAAGGCACACTGACACAATTGGGACATCTCTAACTCTGAAACCCTAACATAAAGTTCTCGACTTCAGATTCAAATATATATATATAATAGTCTCACGCTGAACTTTCACAACTTTACCAAACTAAATTAATATAATAAAATAATAATTTACATCCCGCTAAGCAATTCCAACCGGCACGAATTTCCATTTATTTTTAGGTTACCTACTGTTGTTATATGACTGTGTTCTCATTGATTCTATCACTGATTGACGTGTGTAGGTACAACATTTATTCACGACAGCCAATCCTGAAAATTCCTTTGATTAATTTTTAAAAGGCACAATCTCGCTTTGAACATCTTTCTAACATTAATAGCTTAAAGTTTCCCTATGACAGGCAAAAGAGAAATTTTCATTTTCATTTCACAAATTCATAAAACATGAACTGTTGTTCAAAGTGATGGAGGTTTACAAAGTTTGTAATACGTACTGTTTTGTAGATATCTTGATTGCTTCCTACACAAACTCATTACCAATATTAATTAGAAAATATCCTTTGAAACGGCGATTTGGTATAATCGTTCTTTACAGAACTTCAGATGTGCTCTTGTAAAATAATAATGGTTAATCTGTTATGACTTATAAGTATAGCAATAATTTCTCGATTAATTATTAGATAACTAAAATTGTTTTCGCCTCACACACGTGGCGAAAATACGGTCTGGCTGTTTCAATGCGGCAACCTTTTGTCGAGGTGGCTCATTCGTGCATGCTTTCACATATCAAAAATGTCAATATTCAAGAGGTAGGTACAAATTGGTACAGTCACCCATTCAGTGAAATTCAACCCAACATATCACTGCGGCCTCGGCCTGGAGCAGTAGAAAGAACGGAGGGTTTTTAGTCAGTAAGAGTCTGACACTCCCTCTCACCCTGGGCGGGAGAAGTCATTTGATGATTTTCGCCTTCCAAAAGGAAAGTCCAACATATTATTACAAAATAAATAATAGTTATTAAAAAAACTCGCATCCTTTAAATCTGCGGCATTCGAAAATAAAATAAATTCCATTTTCAAGTTATTGTTACCATTGAAATAAAAAAATACACACAATAACATTGTTATATCCGATCATCTCGTTAGATGGAACCGCCGCCGTCAAAATACATCTATAGTTCCGTGCATTTTATCCGAGAGCTTGAAACATTCGTTCGGTATGTCGGGAAATAAAAATAAATTACATTGATAATGCTTTAAAACAATTGTCACTAGTGAAAAGGGGTGAATGATAATTTTATAATCTGCGCGCGGCCGGACGCGTTGATGGCACTTTTCATTATCTAAATAGCCAGGTTTAATTAAATTTCCTTCGTTATACTGGAAGAATAATTCTATTTTAGTATTAATTGTGTTATTTTAATGCTGTTTGTCCGTATGAACTTAGATGTAAGACCAGCCCTACCATATCTCTTGTGGGGTCAGACAAATATTAGATATAGTGTAGGCTATTACCAAAGGACACGGTGGAGCATACGGTGGCGTCGTGCCCTGGTAGTGCTGAGCATGGCCGTGTTTTCAAGGATGTGATCCGCGGCGGCGGCTTCTCGGTTTTTATCAAGGCCGTGGAGTGGAGCAGGATGAGCTGGAAAACCAGATGGCTATCAGATTCGCTCACGGCATCTTTCATGCTCTCAAAGAAGGTCACTACGCCGTACCAGCCGCAGTAGGCCACACACCGCGGGGGTTTTTCTTTAGAATGTTTTAGAATGTTTTCCTTTAGAATTAAATCAAGCATTTACAATTCCATCAATTTATAATTTGGTTATAAAATATTATTTGAAATTACATTAAAATCTCTAATACAAAATTTTAACATATAAACGTCAAATTCATTCTTATTGTCCGGATGTTTTCATTATAAACTAGGGTCCACAGTTTCTGTTGTTAAGTATTCGTAAAAAGGCGAAAAGCGACATAGAGGAACCCTCTTCACGTTCTTAAATGATATTTGTCACATCGCCTTGACCACTACGACCATTTTCCCGGAACATTACGTCACAATTGTAATTTCTATCATGAACAATGCCATCCTAAGACCCGGGAATATATTGTTTTGAATTCTTCATCATATAAAATGTTTTCTGAAGAATTTCCACCGTAACAATGTACCTGTGCATTGCGTTGAATTCTCTCAATTCCTTTATCTGTGAAATAAAAGCGGATTAGGAGGTGGGTGCTGCTTCAAAGAGCCAGTAGACCACCATAGATGGAGCCAAGCGCAATAAGACAACGCAGCTCCGGCTTTAAGCAGGACAAGGAACGCGGGGTTTTTGTCAGTAAGAGTATAACGATCCCTCAGCCCTCACCCTGGGCGGTAGAAGTCTCAAAATCATCTCTACGGCGATGTCTCTATATAATGCCTGAAATATGTATTTATGTCACCGGAAAATAACAAGATCCGTAAGTTTATCAATTTACTAGGAAGTTTATAAACTTTCGTAAGATTCTAAACGGGAGATAAATTGTAATATTTTACGTCCACATATCGTTACGAAAATGTGTCTAAACTTACGGATCTTGTTATTTTCCGTTGACATTTATACATTTCTACTTACTTACATTTTCAAAACAACATTAAGATTTCCGCTACGAATTAAAACAACGGCGCAATTCACAGCTGACGATCGCGCCCGACCGCTGCGCCAACCATGCAGTAAGATTTTACGCAAATGTTGACTGGATTATTGGAGCCTCAACTTACAAAGATCCTTGTAGTGTCTTTGAAGCTCGCTCCAAGTAATATTTAATCAAACATCGGACACCGGAACTTATGTAATGTGACCCTTGTCAAATACCTTCGATCTATCACCTTGTACGAACACAGTAAGTCAGTGTGGCTCGGCTATACGTCACCGGGACGCTAACTGCGCGCGTGGCTTATCCTACGAAAATAAATTATTCCAACCGAAATCGTGTCCTCACATAATTTCTGCTTTGATGTTTATTGAAAAAAGTACGAGAATATTGAAAGTAAATTAAAATTTTACGCTCTCGATTCCTAAAAGAAAATTATTTCTTTAAATAGAAATAAATTGGTCGAATAAGTAAGCACTGACTTCCTTGTAAGGAAGCGCGTATTTTATTAATAACGAAATTGAATTACAAGCGTGTAATTAAAGTTGGTAACGGCGAGAAAAGTACTTGCCTCTTAAACTTAATTACGTAAGCAAATTAAAATTGAATGAGATCCACTTTAATTTCTTTTTAAGTGTGGGAGATCCATACTTCCTTACTTCAGTGCGAATGAGCTGGCTCGGCCGGAGTGATTCCACGGCCTTACATAATGCTAGTGTGCAACAACGCTTACGTTGTATTTCGCTGTGAGAGAGCAACCAGAGAGCCAATCCTTCCCCCGCCCATTCTTAATCCCCGAATCCTCCTAGCCTTAAATCCTTAATAACCTACAATAGGTCGGCAACGCAATTAGTGTAAAATGTAGTCTTTGGTATTACAAGTTTTCAAGGGCGACGCCGATTGCTTACCTTCAGGTAATCCGCCTGCTTGTTTGCACATTAAATGGTGTGTCGTGGTGGTTACTTACGTATAAGAGCCAAAATTAGTTAAAACTCACCTACTCTGTGAAGTATGTACAAGTCATTAAACCGCACCATAATTCTTGCGTAATTGGGGACCTATAGCTTTACGCCGCGGCGTAATGGCGTCGAACTATTCCCTGTTTAACTGTAAAGCATGCCAATACCGCGTCTAATAGCAGTAACCGATAATGAAACCTAGAAAAGGGATCAATTGGAGAGCATATAAAGCGCAAGCTGCCAATGGATTATTTAGTGGTAGAACAATAATTCGCCGACGCCATTTATTCAGGCCGTTCGAGCGGCCGCTCGCTTGCTCGTAAACAGACGTAATAAACGCTAATGTATCCGCACAGGGTTTTTAATATCGGAAATAATGTTTTATACTCGTAGCTGTAGTTCTGCACGTCCCGGTATCGATTAACCTTTATCTACTAGTTTATGCTCGCGCCAAACAATTCGATACGATGAAAATCAAAATATTGTCATTATCGAGTAATGGCGGCTTGGCGCTGCTCAGAAGATATTACGATTATTACGAAAGTAATTAAATTGAATACAATAAAATGGTCTCGTTAGGAATCTCGGAGCCCATTGTGGAAAGATTATAATTAAACGTCTTTATCTCAACAAATAATATTGTTTTAGCCACATCAATAGGTACCAATCAATTTCTTCTCGTACCTACCTTAATACTAATACCCTATTGTTTAAAGTTTAGGACGACTACGCAAGTAAACTAGGGTGTTATTTGTTTGAAAACAAGTATTCAATAATAAACTAATCAATAAATTACACATTAGAAAAACCCAATGTGAAATTATAAAAAAGGTTGTGATTAGAATTGAAAAAACCAAGACCCGCAGAAAAACCTGTATATGTAAACAAATAACTGTAAAAGCCAAAGATACGATGTAATCATTTTTACTTAATCGACGTCGATGCGTAAATATTGCGAATAAAAATAATTTGGATCCAATCATTTCCTTCTGGCGAGCATTGGCGAAATAATCGTTTCCTCTATCGATAACCTTTAAAAACGTAAAGGTCTGAATTTCGGTAATTTAAGTAGCTTTTTCGAATTTATTCGAGCGTATTTCTTAAGATGCTTTCGATGGGAAATGTTGGGATTGAATGATAATGTGCCTTCCTATTTTATATCAAAATAGTCTTTGACAAAGGGTTATAAATCATCGTTGAGAATTGTATTCATTTATAATTATATATCATATCAGAACATAATCAATGAATTATTATATTTATATAATATTTTATACGTTCAGCAGTGGACGTCCTGTGGCTGATATGATGATGATGATAATATTTTATACTGGCTTACAGTTTGTATATGGTTATAACACCGCAGGCGAAATTCAAAACATTAATATCAAATGAGTAAGTTTTTTTTTGGAAACTAAATACAAAATAAATTGAAATATTTTTATCTAAACTAGGCAGTCTGCTGAAAATATTCGGTTAAAAATCGTTGTCTATTTCGAGGTTCAAAATTGAAAAATATTCCTCAATTCATTCAAAACCCGTCAACGGAAATTTTTATGCGAAAATGCATAGAAAACATACAAAGTAAAATCTAAATATCATTTTAATTCTAAAAACAATTATTGCTGTAAAAGTAGGTACCTTTCTAGATATATCGATTCAATTACAAATTACTTATATAAATCCCAGCACTAATATGAATCTATGTAAAAAAACCAAATACCATCGAACTGATCCAATATTTATTTCAAATAACGGCCACGCAAAATAACTCGGAAAAGCTGTAATTGTTTCAAGACACAACAGGATCTTTAACCGTGAGCGGTGTAAATCACTACATAGTATGAAAAAAATCGCTTTCTTTGTCCCTATGTCCCTATGTATGCTTAAATCTCTAAAACTACGCAACCGAATTTGATGCGGTTTTATAAAAGATAGAGTGGTTTAAGAGGTTATTTTGTACCTACGTATAAGCATTTATTACATGGATGAGGAATTTAGTACCTGCGTTGCAACCGTGCGAAACCGGGCGGGTCGCTAGTTAATAAATAAGTATCTGCTAAACCATAACAAACTGAAATCTAAACAATGGCCCAAGCACGATGTAAAAGGCACGAAAAAAATATTTACGTAAATAAATGTTGTCTCTGTCGTTTGTGTAAACTCGCCGTGGTTGTGACGTTGCATCTAGAAAATCCGTAGCGAGTTTGCGTCCCAGAGATGTCGACCTGCCAAGCCATATCTTTCCTTAGAAAATATTTATTTCTCATTTCACCGTTACTATAGTGTTAAAACTATTTATTTTCTCTTGTTTATACTTATCTATTTGTTTCTTTTTTTTACGCGTGTCACTCCTAACTGCCGATCTGGAAGCCGTTGGTGATGATCAGCTACAAAGCTGATATAATGACAAAAATGATGAGGGAAAAAGATGTTGTTGTTCTATGAAGACTGCGACGAAAACAGAAAATTATATATGTATACGTTAGAAACAGTTCTAAACTAGTACTAGTAATAAACTTAGCAGAAAAGACAGACTATAAGTTTTTCTTACCTATCATATCTACAATAAAAAATCACGCTACGGTTAAGTGGAGCCGAGTAGCGGGTAAAACCGCGCGAGAGTAGCTAGTATTATTATATTTACTCTGCATATCACGCCTTAAGTAATGTATTTTAAATATAGCTTAACAAAAGGACTATAGGTACAATTTTCCATACGGAACACAATCGAATTCGGTAATCGATTAAACAGGATAACCCCCCAGGATAATTTACTACCGAACATTCCAGAACGATTGAAAAATAACAGGTCCAAGAATTTTGGTGGGAAATTTCCATTTTTTTTCCATTCATTCGCTTCCAATGTACGTTATTGCATCTACATTGCTGGCCTTAGTCCGCCGTTTCAATTACGAGATTTCGGTTTTAACCAATTTTCACTTCAATTTTTGTAGTTGATGGATTAGGGGAAATGATTTATTTGTTTAAAATAATACAATAGATAATCAAAAAATCCCTAAGGTTGACTGGGATAGAATGCCATATGGCATTAATGTTTGCCTTCACTTGTTTTGTGTACATTAAAGTTTAAATAAATAAATAAATAATAGAACTTAATTTTGTGTAATTAATTCTTAATTTATACTGTGACCCAAAACACAAAATAATACAACTGGAATTCTTTTTTAAAAAAATTAAC